AGAGAGAGAAACCAGGTAAGAAGGAAGAGGTAGCAATGGAGGTTACATAAGGCAGAGTTTAGGGCTTGGACAGCAAGGTAAGTCTTTAGAAGGTCAAGCACTTCTGTGACTACAATCCAGAGAAGGTGCTGGGTGCCTGGGAAGGGAGCTTTGCCAATTCCGTAAGGGAGTGGGATCACACTGGTGGTATTTCTGTAGCCTTTTATTTTTGTAGCCTTTGGTTAATAAGTATGTATTGCCGCCATAATCAGAAGAAAAAAAAACACACACATGTACTCTGTGTCATCCACAAAAGAGAGCAGGAAATGAAGCCAGAGAAGCTAAGAGTCTGGAAAAGAAAGGATGCCAGGTTTGGGGTCTAACCATACTCTCAAACACCCCAGTTCTACAGAGATTTGCTCTTGCTACCTAATTAACATTCTAGGTTCCATAAGTAAATGAAGAATGCCAAAACAAAGAACCTCAAGAGAAAAAAAATCAGGGCACAAACTATAATCCGGTTCTCTCTGATCACCCTCAGCCCCTGCAGAAAATCAAAAGGGAGTGTAAATGGTGCATGGAGCTGGTATTTTAAGTTCAAGAGTGTTGTCCCCTCCACCCCTCTGTGCCTTGCAAAAATATTTAAGTACACAGTACAGATCAGGAACAAAAAAAACCTTATGCCTTCAGGTACCAACATTTTCATTTAGGAATTAGGAGGAAAAGAAACACTGAATTATTCCACATGAAGATAAAAATGTCATACTACGTGACAGCCATTGAACCCTCCGATGGTAATGTGCCTTTTTTTTTTTTTTTTTTTTTTTTTTTTTGAGACAGAGTCTTGCTCTGTTGCCCAGGCTGGAGTGCAGTGGCGCGATCTCAGCTCACTGTTGCAGCCTCCATCTCCTGGGTTCAAGCAATTCTCCTGCTTCAGCCTCCCAAATAGCTAGGATTAGAGACACACAGCACCATGCCCAGCTACTTTTTTTTTTTTGAGACAGCGTCTCACCCTGTCACCCAGGCTAGAGTGCAATGTAAGAGACTGCAGTTTGAGCTATACATAAAGTGATAATTATTGCATCACTGGCAGCAAAGATGTTGCCTGAAAGACAAGTGTGAGGGACTATGCCAACTCTGCCAGAGAGCCCTAGCCTAGGTCAGCACCATCACACCCTTACAGCTTTTCTCAGATGGCTCTCTACCAGCTGCTGATGTTTTCACAATGGCTTCTGGCAGGGAAGCCAAATGAGGAGGGATCAAAAACAGCCAGGGATTGGAGGGACAGCAATCCATATTTTCCATAGGCAATGCTGTGTGATCCTTTAGCAAATGGAGACAATACCACCAAGATGCAGAAAACGACACTGTGAAGATTAGATGAGAAAAGATGTGTATGGTCCCTGCCCCAGGTTAAGCACTCTATAAATGCCTGTAATGATGATGGTGATAATGTTGACTGGTGTTTACAATTAAAAGAGATAGAAAGGCAAATAGAATTAATAAGTTCTATTAATTCACCTGCAGGCCCGGCCAGCTGGCTCACACCTGTAAACCTAGCACTTTGGGAGGCCAAAGTGGGAGGATCACTTTAAGTCAGGAGTTCAAGACCAGTCTGGCCAACATGGTGAAACCCCATCTCTACTAAAAAATGCAAAAATTAGCCAGGCATGGTGGCACATGCCTGTAATCCCAGCTACTCAGGAGGTTGAGGTAGGAGAATCGTTTGAACCCAGGATGTGGAGGCTGCAGTGAGCCGAGATTGTGCCACTGCACTCCAGCCTGGGGGACAAGAGAGAGACTCCGCCTCAAAAAAAAACAAAACAAACAAAAAAAAAAAAAAAACTCACCTCTTAACCAGAATCCATCCACTTTCCTCACCCCAACTAACACTTCTCAGCCAAGGCCACAGCCAACTCTCATCTGGGCAATTGCGTAGCCACCTAACTGGTGTCTCTGGTCAGCCTGCCATCCCCCCTCCAGACCCTGATCTTCACAGCAATACAAGTGAAGCTGAAAGACAAAAGGCAAATCTGATCATATCACTCCCCTGCTAAAACTCGTCCAGTGGCTTCCCCTGCCCTATGAATGCATCTGCATTCTGTAGCTGAGCTACCAGGCCGCAATGTGGCTTCTGTCTACACTCTCACCTGGTGCCATCAGATCCCTCTAGTCCCTGATCATTACACTCCCCCTAACCCTACCTGCCTTAGCACCTTCCTGGGGGCTGTTTCTCTGCTGGGAAGCTTCCTCCTGCTTAATCCTTCATCCTCCTCATTCAGATCTCATACTAAATTTCACCTCTGTAAGGACACATGCCCTGGTCCTCAGACCAGGGTGGGAGGTCTCCCATTACAGCTCCCAAAAATGCCCTGGAACTCTCCTTGATGCATTTCTCAGTTTTGCAATTTTCTTAGTAATTTGTAGTTATTTAGTGGCTGCCTTCCCCAAAGGCCAGCTGCTCTGACTCATCACTGGATCCCCAGTGCCCAGCAGAGCATTTAGCATATGATGAGTGCTCAATAAGAATCTGCTAGCTGGCCGGGCGCAGTGGCTCATGCCTGTAATCCCAGCACTTTGGGAGCCCAAGGTAGGCGGATCACAAGGATAGGAGTTCGAGACCAGCCTGGCCAATATGGTGAAACCCTGTTTCTACTAAAAATACAAATATTAGCCAGACATGGTGGTGGGCACCTGTAGTCTAAGCTACTCAGGAGGCTGAGGCAGGAGAATCACTTGAACCCAGGAGGCGAACGTTGTGGTGAGCCGAGGTCATGCCACTGCACTCTAGCCTGCATGACAGAGTGAGATTGCAGCTCAAAAAAAAAAAAAGAATCTGCTAGCTGACTGCCTAGGAAAGACTGGCATAGGGGTCCTGAAGCCAGGAGTTTACTTCCATTCCTAGACACCTGGGTAGCACTGCTGCCTCCAGGCTGCTTAGTCTCTCAGGCTCTCAGCATCTGAAGGCAGCATAATCTGCCAGTGGCATCGTCTGCAGGAAAAAAAAAAAAACACCTGAGATTTTCAGCTACCCTGAGAAGAAATCAGCTGGTAAGTTTCTTCTGTCTTTACCCCATTCATGCCCTGACCGTGATGACCAAAGACCCAGGCTGAACTCTGAATCAGCCAGGGTTCTGCCAGAAAACAGCCCATGTCACTTGGGCAAGTTGAGAGTTTTAATGCAAGAGCCACCAATGTGTGGGCTGGGTATAGAGAAATGAAAAGCAATGGTAAGGAACTCCAAGGCCTGTAACAGGAGAGGGGGAGCCAGTTACTACTCACAGACCTTAAAGTCCGGAGAGAAAAGTAGTAGTCACTGAACCTTGAAACATCAAGGGTAACACAGAGAGCAGCTTTCTAGAAGTCAGTGCCTTCCACTGAGGGCAAAGCCAGCCTGCAGTAACCTCTCAGGGAGGGATCGGAGAAAATCAATACCGACTTCACTCTCCGCTCATGCCAATGCAACAGAAGCCAGACGGTGGGGCAGTTGGTATTAATTCCACACAGGGCAGCCACACAAGGTACAGAATAGGGTAGAGAGGCTGAAACAGAAGATATCTAACACATGCCATCACCTCTATGAGGCTGGCAGTTCAGTGTAGTGAAAATACACTGGGCTCTGAAGTCAGGCAGACACGGGCTTGAATCAAGGCTCCTCAACTTCTGGCTATATGACCTTGGCAAAGGACTTACTAGCTCTGAGTCTCAGTTTACTTCTATAAAAGGAGAACGATAACATCTACTGCACATGCATTTTAAAATTACGTAAGGCCAGGCACAGTGACTCAAGCCTATAATCTCAGCACTTCAGGAGGCCGAGGCAGGTGGATCACTTGAGGTCAGGAGTTCAAAACCAGCCTGGCCAACAAGGTGAAACGTCATCTCTACTAAAAATACAAAAATTAGCTGGGCATGGTGGCAGACACCCGTATTCCCAGCTTCTCGGGAGGCTGAGGCATGAGAATCTGTTGAACTCGGGAGGCGGAGATTACAGTGAGCCGAGATCATGCCACTGCACTCCAACCTGGGCAACAGAGCAAGACCTCATCTCTTAAAAAACAAAAACAAAACAGTAAAGATTCCCAAAGACGATCCTCGTAAAGCACTGAGCACAGCACCCAGTATACAGTGAGTGCTTTCATTCATGGTAATCATGTTACTATGACTCAACCTTCTCCACAACCACCTCCTGTCCTGCCTCCATCCAGGACACCCCAGGAAAAAGAAATACCTGCCTGCTCCTGTTAAGGTCTGAATGACAAGCAAGGCCAAGGGGTCTGGACTTCACGAGGACTATGAGGAGTGGGGTGAAGGAGCAATGAAAGCAAGGCCTCCACTCCCCAGCCTCGTCATGCCTCCAGGGTGGCTGCCTTCCCCACCGACAAGCTAGGGGTTACCGGGAGTGTCCCGACTTTCTCTTATCCGTCCTTCATGCAGGCAGCTGCCCAAGAGTGGCCTCCTTAAGACAGTGGTCCAGCGGCGTGGACTCCAGCGTGGGCTTTGGCGTCAGAGAAACAGGCTTCTGCCACTTATCAGAAGCACAAGCAGGCAGGTTGCTTAGTCTCTCGGGGCCTCAGCATCTTCATCCGTGCAATGGAGACACTAAACGGAACCGATCTGATAGGGTATGTGGGAGCATTAAATGGGATAACGGTGTAAATAAAGCCCTGGTTCCTAATACCGCCACAAGAGATGTCGGTGTTTGATATGATAATTATTAATATTAAATGGCTCATCACCAGAGGGTATGCCTCAGCAGCGCTCACCGCACGGTCCCTCCAGGCGACCGGCCACCGGCTGAAGGCGGCCTGAACGCGGCCCAACGGCCCCCGGGCTCCCGCCCGCCGGCCACGAGCGGAGACAAGCCGGGGAGACGCGCCCGGGTAGAAGCTCCCGGGAAGACGCCAAGAAGCGGCGGGGCGCGCACCGCTGGCCTTCGCGCAGGTCCAGAGCGTCGCCCGGGTGGACCTCAGCTCGCCCAGTCATGTCACGCGCCGCCCCTGGCCCCGGCCCCCACTCACCCTCTGCGCCGCGGACGGGAAGCCCCAGCACCCACAGCAGTACTTGCCACCAGCCTAGGAGCCGCATGACGCGGGGCGGTCGTCGACCGGCAGCCGGGACCACCGCCCAGGGCCGAAAAGAAACCGGCGCACGGCTACGCGGGTGGTGCTGCCAGCCCGAGGAAGGCCGGGGGGTGGAGAGCGTGGGAGCGCGGGCGCGGCCCCGCGCCGCCATCTTAACACCGGGCAGCTGTGGCGAGCGCCATCTTGGAGTCGGGCGGACGGCCTCCGGTCGCTGGCCGTCGCCGCAAGACTCGAGGCCGCTTTAGGAGCTAAACGGCAGACGTTACAGGTCGTTTTAAACTCTGCTGACCCCAGAGTCCAGAGCACGGCTCTGGCAGAGGCCCGTGGCCTTCTTTCTTCCCGCGGAAGTCAGGGTTTGGCTACTTGGATCACTGTGCCTGCCTAAGGAGTTTTGGACGCTTCATTCCCATTGCCAGAAAGGCCCAGGAGCTTTCCTGTTCTAGTGTCCCATCGAGGTGCAGAAACATTTAAGTGTGCAAGTCTTCTAATCTTGCCTTACCCGTGCTCTTCTACCTAGGGTTGCCACATAGAATACCAACTACCCAATTATGTTTGAATTTCACATATTTTTACTACAAGCCTTACCTTTAATCATCCTGTAACTTTGTGACATCTGACAACCCAAACCCTACCAATCTACTCAGGGCAAGAGAGGTTAGTTTTAACTAATTCACGTGCAGGGCAATCTGGTTCTCTTTGAGCATGGTTGGGGCCATGAGCACCATTGGCTCTGGCTAATGGGGGAGAAGAAGCCACCTCGAGCATAAAGTAGATAGGAAAGGGCTTAGAATGAAGAAAGCATAGATGGGGAGACGAGGAACAGGGCTCTGCATTCCCAACCAAACGCACAGAGTGGGAGTCTGTAAGAGAAAATTCTCGGGGAATAGAGAGGATGACACCAGTAATTAGGGTACTTTGGTGGGGAGGGCCTGCTAAAATGGAATAAGGCAAGTTTTAAGCAGCCACCAGTGCTAAATCAGTGCAGGGTGCAACTTTCAAAACTAAGAGGTTGAAAAAATAGAAACTGATTTAAAATACATCTATCTATTGGTTAACATAGCAATGGTCGGGGAATCTGGGCTGTTTGGCCACTTGGTGAATTCCAGCTTCAGCACATGTGGTAGTACACAGCAAGTTTTGTAACTTAAAGTTCAGTGTCTTCATCTATAAAATGGAGATGAAGTAATATAGCATCTTATAGATGAAATGAGATGTAAAGTGATAAGCACAGTGCCCTGGTGCACAGGAAGCATTTCAAAGTGGTAGCCATTATTAATTGAGTAATACAATTCTGATGGGAGTGGCCATAGTCCCCTTATCTCTATGCCCATCAGAGAGAGACTGTTAGGCCAGAAAGATGCATCATTAATCTAACCCTGTGGATGATTATTTTATTCTTTTTTTTTTTTTTTGAGACACAGTGTCGGTTTGTCACCCAGGCTGGAGTGCAATGGCGCGACCTTGGCTCACTGGAACCTCCACCTCCTAGGTTCAAGCGATTCTCCTGTCTCAGCCTCCTGAGTGGCTGGGATTACAGACATGCACCACCACGCCTGGCTGATTTTGTATTTTTAGTAGAGACAGGGTTTCACCATATTGGTCAGGCTAGTTTCGAACTCCTACCTCAAATGATCCGCCCACCTCGGCCTCCCAAAGTGCTAGGATTACAGGCATGAGACACTGCTCCCAGCCGATTATTTTATTCTAAATTCGTTGGTATGGTTTTGCTGTACTAGATCCTCAAGTGTCATCTTGTGGGTCCAGAAGGATCTGAGATAATGGACATGGATGAAAGAGCCCACGGTTCTAGAGTTTATCACTAGTCATCATTTGGCTAACTACCTCCCTCACCCCTAACAGTGAAATAACAAACCTTTCCTTTAACTTTCTCATCCCCCATACATAGTTTGAAGGTGCATGAAAGCCAACAGGACAGAGCACCAAGGGGATTTATGATTAATGAAAAAGAGGCTGATCTGGATACTCCCAACATGGATACCCTGTGACTACTGCTCCTTCCTTTTTATTATGTCCTTTCCCTTCCTGTGTTTTTAACTTTAGCTCCATGTTTAGACAGATATGCTTACAGATGTTAGAACTGGATTTGGATGTTAGAATTGTCTTTCCTTTTTTTTTGTCACCCAGGTGCAGTTGCTCAGTTATGGCTCATTGCAGCCTCAACCCCTTGGACTCAAGTAAGCTTCCCACCTCATTTTTTAAATTTTTTTCTAGAGATGAAGTCTCACTGTTTTGCCCAGGTTGGTTTCAAACTCCTGGGCTCAAGCGATCCCCTACCTTGGCCTCCCAAAGTGCTGGGATCACAGGCTTGAGCATCTTTGAATAGATACTGTAAGCCGGGCGCGGTGGCTCATGCCTGTAATCCCAACACTTTGGGAGGCTGAGGCGGGTGGATCACAAGGTCAAGAGATCGAGACCATCCTGGTCAACATGGTGAAACCCCATCTCTACTAAAAATACAAAAAAATTAGCTGGGCATGGTGGCACGTGCCTGTAATCCCAGCTACTCAGGAGGCTGAGGCAGGAGAATTGCCTGAACCCAGGAGGCGGAGGTTGCGGTGAGCCAAGATCGCACCATTGCACTCCAGCCTGGGTAACAAGAGTGAAACTCCGTCTCAAAAAAAAAAAAAAAAAAAAAAAAAAGATACTGTATATACCCCCTTTAATGACAACAAATGCAATCCACAGGATAGAATCCTTATTTAAGTGTCTCACCACCAGCTGGCACATGCACTTCTTTTCAGTGAGAAAACTGCCTTCACAATTGTCCTGGTTTCTTTCAAGTTTCTGTGGGTGAGGGGAGAAAAGCTGACTATTCTCTTCCTTTGGCTGAAATTAAATCTGGCAGTAACATATGGCCTGGGATTATTCATACAAGAGTATGATAGTAATTGAAATTATCCCCATGGCTTCCTGCTGGAAGGGATAATAATAAAAGGTGGGGGGAAGAAATTATTATACACAGCCAAACACCTGTACTCCTGGTGTTTAGTTTGTCCTTCATGTTAGGTTTGTCTAAGTCTGTTTTGTTGGTTTTTTGGTTTTGTTTTTTAGAGAGACAGAGTCGAGGAGGATCCAAGATGGCCAAATAGGAACAGCTCTGAATTGCAGTTATCAGCAAAAATGAGAGACTGCTGCAGGTGATCCCCAGGCAAGCAGGGTCTGGAGTGGACCTCCAGCAGTCCTACAGCAGAGGGGCCTGATTGTTAGAAGGAAAACTAAGAAACAAAGAAATAACTTCATTAGCAACAAAAAGGACGTCCACTCAGAGACCCCATTTGAAAGTCACTAACCACAAAGACCGCAGGTAGATAAATCCACAAAGATGGGAAGAAACCAGCACAAAAAGGATGAAAATACTCAAAACCGTTCTCCTCCAAGGGATCACAGCTCCTCACCAGCAAGGGAACAGGGCTGGATGGAGACTGAGTCTGATGAATTGACAGAAACAGACTTCAGAAGATGGGTAATAAGAAACTTCTCTGAGCTAAAAGAACATGTTCTGACCCAATGCAAAGAAACTAAGAACATTGAGAAAAGATTTGATGAAATGCTAACAAGAATAAACAGCTTAAAGAGGAATATAAATGAATTGATGGAGCTGAAAAACAACACGAGAACTTCATGAAGCATACACAAGTTTAAATAGCTGAATCGACCAAGCAGAAGAAAGGATATCAGAGATTGAAGATCAACTCAAATAAAACGAGAAGGCAAGATTAGAGAAAAACGAGTGAAAAGAAACAAACAAAGCCTTGAAGAAATATGGGATTATGTGAAAAGACCTAATCTACATTTGATTGGCGTACCTGAATGTGACAAGAGAGAATGAATCCAGGCTGGAAAACACTCTTCGGGATATAATCCAGGGGAACTTCCCCAACCTAGCAAGGCAGGCCACCATACAAGTCCAGGAAATACACAGAACACCACAGCTATTCCTCAAGAAGAGCAACCCCAAGGCACATAATCATCAGATTCACCAGGATAGAAATGAAGGAAAAAATGCTAAGGGCAGGCAGAGAGAAAGGTAAGGTTACCCACAAAGGGAAGCTCATCAGACTTACAGGGGATCTCTTGGCAGAAACCCTACAAGCAAGAAGAGAGTGGGGGCCAATATTCAGCAACCTTAAAGAAAAGACCTTTCAACCTAGAATTTCATATCCAGCCAAAGTAAGCTTCATAAGTGAAGGAGAAATAAAAGCCTTTATGAACAAGCAATTGCTCAGAGATTTCATCACCATGAGGCCTGCTTTACAAGAGCTCCTGAAAGAAGCACTAAACATAGAAAGGAACAACCAGTACCAGCCACTCCAAAAACATACCAAATGGTAAAGAGCATTAACACAATGAAGAAAGTGTGTCAACTAATGGGCAAAACAGCCAGCTAGCACCAAAATGGCAGGATCAAATTCACACATAACAATATTAACCTTAAATGAAAACAAGCTAAATGCCCCAATCAAAAGACATAGACTGGCAAATTGGATAAAAAGTCAAGATCCATGCCAGGCGCGGTGGCTCAAGCCTGTAATCCCAGCACTTTGGGAGGCCAAGGCGGGTAGATCACGAGGTCGAGAGATCGAGAACATCCTGGTCAACATGGTGAAACCCCATCTCTACTAAAAATACAAAAAACTAGCTGGGCATGGTGGCGTCGTGCCTGTAATCCCAGCTACTTAGGAGGCTGAGGCAGGAGAAGTGCCTGAGCCCAGGAGGTGGAGGTTGCGGTGAGCCGAGATCGCGCCATTGCACTCCAGCCTGGGTAACAAGAGCAAAACTCCGTCTCAAAAAAAAAAAAAAAAAAAAAAAAAAAAAAAAAAAAATCCATTGGTGTGGTGTATTCAGGAGACCCATCTCACTTGCAAAGATACACAGAGACTCAAAATAAAGGAAAGGAAGAAGATTTACCAAGCAAACATAGAGCAAAAAAAGAGCAGGAGTTACAATCCTAGTTTCTGATAAAACAGACTTTAAACCAACAAAAATCAAAAGAGACAAAGAAGGACATTACATAATGGCAAAAGAATCAATGCAACAAGAAGAGCTAACAATCCTAAATATAAAGGCGACCAATACAGGAGCACCCAGTTACATAAAGCAAGTTCTTAATGACCTACAAAGAGACTTAGACTCCCACAGAATAATAGTGGG